TTTTGCATTAGCATTATTAAGATATCGAGATAGATTAGAGCTTATAAATACACGAGAGGCATTAGAAAATGCACAAGCATGGAATTATAATGAAAATGAATCTAATTCTGATGAAAATTCTCAAGATAATTATACTTTTGATTTAGATATAGGCACAATAGCTGAATTGGCCGATACTATAGACAGATCCTTAAATGATACAACAATATGTAAAACCGTTTTAACAAATCAAATTAAAAGATCAACAAGATCAATTCAATATAAATATGCTAACCTGCAACAAGATCTGGTAAACGAATAGTGGAATTGTGATATATATAAGCAGGAGCGAGATCAGGCATTGCAGCAATTAGAAAATGAACGGGCATTTAATGAATATTGGCGAGACCGAATATGTGATAGATATATAAAATGGAAGAATAAAACTAAGGATGAGCATATACAAATACAGAACTATTAAAATGAAAGAGCTCTTGATGAATTTTGGCAAGATCGACTATATGATCGGTATAAAAAATGGAAGAATAAGACTAAAGATAAATTCTGAATCAAAATCAGAATATTTTAAATTTACAGCAACAAAATTTTGCATTAGTAAATAATCAGCAAAATCAACTGATGGCATTACCTGTAGGATTTGCACAACCAGAATTCCATGGTGGTGAAGAAGATCATGAAGATTTCGTAGATAGGTTCATATCATATATTACCTTGGCTGGAGTAAATAATGATGCAAATATTCTCACTATATTAGATCGATCCTTAAAAGGAGAAGCAAGAGAATGGTATCATAGAGAATTTGACAATAAAAATTGGGAGTTAGAAAATGTACTTGATAACTCTGGTATAGGTGCAAAAATAGTACATATTCGTGGTGCTAATGCAGGAGGTATAACGGGTGCAGTTGCTTCTTTCCCAAATGTTCTACTTGGACTTACAAATGCACAAATTATCTCTGCTCGAAATGTTGCTGAAGATTGGACAATAGCAGGAGGACGCCCAACTAATGCAGTACTAGTTGCACCAAATGCTGGAGGAGGTGTTTCTATTATTCTAGCAGGAATACAATCTGGACAAAGGCTTTGGTGGATAAAAAAACATTATCCAACTGCTAATAAATATGTAAAGATATTAGAAATTGGAGCATTAAGACAAGGCATATATGAGAGTATACCTTCATTCTGGGCAAAAATTTAGAAATATGGCGATCAACTCGGTTATACTCCAGCACAGAAGAAAACCCATTTCTTATTTGGAGTTAGACCTGATATTAGAGATGAAATTTATAGAATTAGTCAAACAAAACCCATTAACGATATTATTGATAGTTTGGCAGAACTTGAATTACGTTATAGAATATTACAACAGGCACCATCTCAACTTCGCCATGCACTTATTGCTCCTGCTATTTCAGATGTTATACCTCAACAACCGGCATTCCCCATGGCTGATATGCAAAAAATGATTCAAGATGCATTTGCAAAACAGTGAGCTGAATCTAAAGCTGAGATAGAAAAATTAAAGGCTGAACTTTAAGCACAACAATCACAAGTTGCAATAGTAGGAAATTTTTAACCCCCACCCAAGTTTTACTCTATAAAATCAGAAAAACCTCGGTAGGCATTTTACATAGTAGATCAAGAAGATAATAATATAGATCCACTTACCCAAGATCCAGATTATCTTAAATACCTCGAGCAAGCAAAAGCCTTATATAAAAAACTACAAAGATCTAACCAATCTGTCAGAATGGATAGAATAGAAGAAGGGCTTAATGAAACTCGAGATACTATAAATCAGTTAGCAGACCAATTACAGAAAAAAGTGTATATAAAGAAATGTGGAATTTGTGGAGAAACAGGCCATAGCAAGGGCAAATGCCCCAATCAACCTACAGTCCAATCTAATTATACTCGATCATATTTTACATCTCTCAAGCCAATATATCCCCAATACACACCTCCTAATTTAGATGATAGCGAGGAGGATAAAGGTGGGTATAATGAGAAAAATAATCAATAGCATGCCCCTCCATCCTATTTAGAAAAAAAAAACAGATATCACCAACAATAAGTAAGACATCACAGAATAAATCAGTAATTTTATGCAAATCTTTAGTTACAGAATCTAAACAAAATGAAAAAGTCACTATGCCAAACCTTTTTCCAGAATCGGATAACCAGTTATTAGAATTATTATCTCCAGCAATACGAAAAAAAATTATTGACCCATCTACAAAAAATAAATGGGCCGAATCACTTGAATATATGCAGCGTAGAATTGAAAATATAATTATTCCGGATGGGTTTGCCGATACAGCATCAGGATGTTTTGTTATGAATAAAGCACTAAATGAGGCATTAGGATGGAATCTTGGGATGGCACTAAATTTTTCCCTTAGACATAATTCTGATCATATAACGAAATTAGAAGGAGAACATAAGGATATACCAATATCTATAAAATATAAAAATAAATGGGTTACTGAAACAGAACATGTTGTTGTTATTAATGATGGAAAACCCAATTACCTTCTTTGTTTAGAAATGCCATGGATTCGAAAAGTTCAAGAAATTCTAGATACAAACAAAAATGAATTTCGAATGATAGTTCGTGGAAAATCTTATATTATTCTAACCTTTACTAAGCCAATTAAGGATAATGTTTTATCAAGCCTTTATACAACAGTGATTCAGGATAATAATTCAAAAAATCAAACTTTCAATTCTTCTACCAAGATCGATACTAAAGAGGAGCCAGCATCTAATGAAGAAAAAGAGTCCCAAGTCTTTGATTCATTTACTGAAGATCTAAAAAAAAAACATAATAGATTCCGACAAACAAATCGATTTCTTTCTCAGACTAGAATTCCATTCCAAGATTCAAATC